TTACTAACGAGAAGTTAAAGTTCTCCATGGATCAGCTCTCTGCTGTGGTGAATTTTTCACTTGCGCAACCTGCACTTCACTACAGCATTCGCAGAAGAAGCCACAGCAGTTTATTTTCTATAACTCATAATTGTATACCATTTCATAATCAACACGTCCGCGTCTGACTTAAGCAAAACTTTTCAGCTTCAAGTTTTTGTTTTTGCGTACTTAAAACCTTTGTATTCCTCAAACGAAAATGTCCGTTTGGAATAGCTTTCGGTTACACCATTCAACGTCCGCGGAAATGCACGTATCGCTGACTTAAAACCAAACTGAACACGAACTCGATGAGGTGACAAAGAGAAATGTACTGTAGTGTTTTCCACCCTCAAACTTGAACCCAAAAGGGTTTGTATTGTCATTATTCATTCCTCGGCAGCCTTCGTGCCAGGTCTCCCAAATGAAAGATAAAACAAACACGCGAGACAATCCACTCTGGACTGCGAATCCGCACAGCGCGCAAATTCTGGTGTTCGACAGCCTGAAAGGACTTCTAACAAGACAGTAACGTATATCGTCACTCCAGCATCCACATGTCAACTGATGATGTGGCGACTATTATACAGTCGAACTTCAAATTCCTCTTTATGCTGTCAATTTTCCTGCACTTAGCACAACCAACTCGTTGGTATTCGTAGGCCTGATGAACATTGCCCGATGAAGCAATCGGAAAGCATGCGCCGATAACCAACCAGAGATAATTATGCGCATGCGTGATTAAAAGAATACAATTTCAGCACAGTTCGTTTTCAGTGAAAGGCAGTGAATACGCCCCCAGAAAACCTAGACGTTGAGAGTACATAATACCAAAATGTACAAAAAGTCCACACAACCTTACAGATTAAGTAAAAGCGAAAGTTGAAAAATAAAAAATCGAAGCAAGTTTCTATACCTCGTAAACTGTGTGAATATGTTCCCTTTCATGCCAAATATTTTCAAAATGTCTCCAAACCATGCAAATTTGCAGCTGAAATTCATCACATTTTCCCCCAATTTTGTGAACCTTGTTCAACATTACTCTCCTGCGGACGCCCCATATAATAAACCATGTAAAAATAATGATACGTGCTACAAGCAACGAAGACACACCAATTAGCATACAGTTTATCTGCTGGATCTGTGCAGGCGCATGCTGAGGCATTGCAAGAAGCTGCGCATGCGAGATAAGTCTTGATGATTTCCACCCAAAAGAAATACATTCGCATCTGTCAACGCCTCACAATACATCGACAAAACATTTCCGTTGTGCTTTGAATATCATTTTTTACCACACAATGTACAATGACCCTTTCAGGGTATATTAAAGGGAGGAGGGCATCACGAAGAAATAATATTCACAAAACCTAGTCCAATGAAACTTCCTTTCTCTAAATGATCTAGCATACCTTTTTCAAGTATTCTTTTTTTAGACGTTGATACTCGTCATTTTTGTTAGGGATTGATGGCTCAATTGTTAGCGCACCTGTTCAATGCTCACTGCTTCGGAGGGCCGCAACCTCTTAGGGCCTAACCTATAAATGATAATTAGAAGTAAACCTAATTAGTTTCTCTCTGTGGTTTGTTTATGCCATATTTATTTTATGTGCAATCTTAAAGTGTGCTTTGATCAATTACTTTGACGAGTTTGGAAAATCGTCACTCTATTAGAAATAATCCTCGCACACGAATCGCTCAATACGTTTTTTAGACCCATTGCCCCGAGCACATCATGGTTTTCTAAGCCAGCCTTTTTTGTTGCCCCTGATGGGACCGCGTGTGTTTTGGATCGGATCCGGGAAACCGACATCCATAGTGCACAAAACGTCATGTCTGAGTCTTCGACCAGGGGTATAGAGAAAACGCGCGCTTTCGATCCAACCAGCTTATCTTCAGTCAACGCCAGTGTGCATTGTGCGTGCACGGACCCTTTTCATACAACAAAGACTGTATGCAGCTATCTCGCACGGCAAACAAAACTGAAGTGTGCCAAGGCACAACACAGCTAGCAGCATACACCGTTACTGGCACACCACTCACTCCCCCGGTATAAATGGCCGCGATACCGCGGGTCCATTGCGTGCAGCAGCAATGTAGCGTGGGCGCAAAAAAAGGCAAACAACTTGGCATGCCTTATTAATATTAAACATCCACGGCTGACTCTAAAATGACATGATAATTTTTCTGCATGCCCCCAATCCAAAATGAATATGAAACGCTAGCATTTCAAACATGTTCGCGGGGGATTTCTGATTTTGTCTTTATCTTACCGAGACGATAAAAGTGGAGTGGGCAACGCTGTTGGCTATCAGTCCAAAAGCGTCAACAACATGGTAATTGCCGTAACAAGAAAAGGCAAAACAATTTTCCTTGCTGTATTAAACCAAAATAAACATCTTGCTTTCGAAAAAAAATCATAGTTCTTTTTTGTTTCATGGGATCCACAAACATTCCGATATTAAAATGTCAGTAGCCTTGCTTATACAACTGAAAATCCTTTCCATAGCATATGAAGCTTGCTTCACATAAGTTCCGTCTTCATGAAGTTCAGGTATAGGTGGTTGGTATCAATTTGTTTCGGACAGATTTTTCTTTAAAGTGGACATCTTGCTAAGAGACAATCTAAATTGTCTACAATCGGTGAAGAAATGTCCATCTTTAAATATACAGCGCACCGTTTGGCGTACCTATACGTAGCCGTGTCGAAGATAAGAACAGATCACGTGACGCCACTAAATAAACGCAACTCGTCTCGAAACCTAAAACACTGCGGATGATTTTTGTTCAAAATATTAATTTTCAGGTCTTTTTTATGTATGCTTGCAAAATGATGACTATACGCTTCAAATAATCAAAATAGAGTCTAAGCATAACATAATGCCCGAAGATTTGTAAATGTTTTCTAAAGTATTTCGGAGATTGTGTTGTGTTAATTGACAATCGTCTATTTATGCAGAGAGTGAACTATGACTGCAAGAAAATATACAAGGAAAAAAACAACATAAATCTTTTCAAATAATCAAAATAGAGCCTAAGCATAACATAATCCCCGGAGACGTGTAATAATTTTTTTCGAAAGTATTTCGGAGATTGTGTTGTGGTAATTAACAATCGTCTATTTATGAGTGTACTATAACTGCAAGAAAATATACAAGGGAAAAAAAAACATAAATCGTTGGTTCCACAAAAGTATTCAGACGCGATTTGAGACAAAACAATTGTTGAACAGTCACTTTCTGGAACTACAGGATTTGCTTTCGCTATCCCCAATGACAAACCAACACTCAGGATTGAGATGTTCGACAAACAATGCAAGACGCTCACAGAATATTCAAGAAGTCCCTGCATTTCACGTCAAGGAACATGCTTTAGACAAATATCGAAAAGTCCATCCAAAAGCGCCCCTAAAATCATACCTAAATTGTGCTATATCAAAATGCAGGGAGTTGCGTTCATGCCAACAAAAGTACAGGTTATACAACGCAACATCATCAATATTACAGTCACATACATTGGCGGAATGAAATCACGTTGCCAAAACACACAATCTCCTGATTATGAATATAGACACAATTGACGTGTTTTGAAATCACACTCGGACTGGTATTTTTTTTTCCTGGTTTAGTTTCTCGTTGTGGTTTGTCATTTCCAGCCAAAAACCACCGGGAAGTGGTTTACATAAATCAGTTCTCGGCACTATTACGGGTTCAAAAGAAAAAAGAATCATCGACTTTTAGTCACAGCCTTTTGAATATACACCATAACAGTTTATACCAAGGAAATTCAGTAACACAAAGATGTGACACCACAATATGAATAAATGGTTTCCTTTCCGCAGCAACATCACCACACATTACACTTCTTAATGTTAAATGAGTAAGACGTCAGCACATTATAATTCATTCAAACCGAGAACATTCAATGCAAAAAGTTCGTCCATTTCAAATAACCTTTCCAGATGTCGTCTCTCCGTCGAACAAAATAATACAAGGAATCAACGTTAACGAAAATGCAATAATTACGTTGACCCATTCAAAGGTAACACTTTTTGCATTTCTATAAAATACCCATTTCATATTTCAGCAAAGGAATAACTCTACATCCGTGGACAAAGAACTAGTGTGTAAGTTGAAATGATAATGAGTTCTTTCTTGGAAAACCTCAGGGTACACAAAAGTGATTCGGTGTATTTTATGCGATACCCATGCAAAGCCGTGCCTTAGGACAAAATAAAATACCCACATGCTATCAGAAACCAATATTCATATTTGGCCTGCTTGCAGTAAGCAGGGGTGTGAGCGACCACTGATAAAAATAGCTGAAAACAGCTGAAAAAGGTGTAAAAAAGCTGAATTTTGGAAATCTCTTATACTTTTGTACACAGCAAGTGAGGGGAAAAAGCTGAAATCCAAAACAAAAAGAGCTGAAATCAGCTAAAAAGCTGAGATTTCACACCCCTGGTAAGAGTCTGGGCCGTACCATGTCTGTTAATAACGACAAGGGAATAAACGTACATGTACAAATGGTCCTATAGAACGACGACAAAGATTGCGCCCCAGCGAACAATAAACAGCACAGTTTTTTAGTACTGCGCGCCAGCTAAATTTAGAACGTAGATAATGATGCCGACTGGTTATTTGCCTCGACATTTCGAGGGACAAATTGAGCAATGTCAAATTATGCAAAACGATGGATGATATTTCTTATGCATTCAAATGTGATGCTGTATAGGCCGTTACTTCGGTTGAGGAGAGCTATATTTCGAGAGCACATCGTAATACGAATGTGTGTGCTATATAATTATGTACACTCCATGTCGTGCAATCTATCCTGTAAAGAATATACTGGGGATGGGTTGGCATATTATGAGAAGGCATAATAACCAATACTCGGCCACGTTAATATACATGTACATTGGCGTCGTATTGTTCAGCCTGTTCGTCAATTCAAGGTGACCTGAATAAAAATGTACACGTACATACCTCCGCCTAATGCAGCCACCGAGGAAGAGAACAGCTTGCCTTGATAGTTAGCATGCCCGGGACTCGCTATGGAGGAAGCAGCGGCGACGGCCGAGGAGGTACGGGTGGCTCCCCCGTTGGGCCCGCCCGGCAGGTCGGCAAACACAGGGCTGAGAACCGTGGAGTCCGAGCAGCTGACAGCGGGAGCCGGGACGGTGCCGTGGGGCGGCAGTACGGGGGCCGGGAAGGGAGGAGTGCCGGACACGGGCAGCCCAGTCCTGCCTTCCATTTACCCGTGAACTGGGGTGTGAGGTCTGCGGTCCTTTTGGGGTTCACTGAGATCCGTGAGGTGTCGCTTCATCCATGACTATATGGAAATGAATCCAATCTTGTTACAGAGTTTGAGCTTTAGCTCGACAGCGTTTGGTTTTTATCAATTTTTTTTCGTAGGCCTATAGGTTCCCGTGTAGTATCGACTCGCAAAAATAGCGGTGATCTCTCAGCTTCGATTACTGAGGACTACCGTACGCACTTCGGCTCATTACTCACAATCCTCCTATACTTTTGGTTTCAATCTATGATGTTCTATCTTGACGTTAATTCACGCAAAAGATCTAGAAAAGGGCCTCGCTTGTGAGCGTGGATCGCAGACGTCTGCCACGGAGCTCGTCAGTAGTCGGAAACAGTCACGTCTGCTATGAAATACAGAAAAGGAAAAAGAAACGGGCAAATTTAATAGTCGTTCAATAATGTGTACACATACAGAGTGTATAACAATTATTGAAGACAAAATTAGGCATAAGATTAAGAAATGACTGTATGACAATCTTTAAAGAAGAGTATTTTGAAAGGCGAATATTTAAACCCGTTCTAGTAAAGTTGTGACGAGCTTTCATAGACATGGTGAGGTTAAAAACCCCAATCAAAGCCATTATTGTATTTGTGTGGACAGCCGTGAACATAATCCACAACACGTGCACTTATTATGGCTGCTACACGTCAAAAAAAGGAGTCCATTTTCCACACAAGAGCAAGTGGCTTCGGGACCTTGAATCACTGAACACAAACGGAATGTTTTATGGTAATGACCCGTGCTGAGTCAACCGTGACAATTACGGCATTCTTCACAGGCGAAAAAAACATAATTCAAATTTGCATTTAGAGTGATTTAGAAGCACTGTGAAATTCGTAAAAGTTTGTGGCAAAAGATATTTGGTTTTGAAGTGAGTGATGCGTGGTATGAGACCGAGTAGACGGTGGCACAGCATTCATTCACATATATACATGTACATGTACACCCACATCAGCTGCATTAGGAAATGTCAGCATCGCATATAGTCATGCTGGTTACCCGTCATGCTGCGCCATTCCCTCAGTTTCACATTCCATTTTTTACCCCGTTCTTTCGCGCTAATGATTGATAACAACCTTGACTACCCGCGATCATGACATCACCTGCGCCGAAGACAAAACACACCTTATTGAAATTGAATATCTGAACGGCATATTTGGGTTCTGAGACAATGCGTATAGGGCCTAGACTGCATACAGCAGGGTTCGCGTGATTGACTGACTGGGTCCGGGTTATGCGGTGCGCGAGGGGGGTTGTGTGGCTGTGAACGAATAATAACGGGGCAGGGCAGACTCTAGCGGCCGCCGTCGCGACGCGTTCACCGGCCCGTGGCGCACACAAGGGCAGGGCACCTGTCTAGGGGGTTGAATAGCGTGGTGGAGGGTACCTGTGGGGATTTCAACGAGACCCGCACCCGGGCTCAACCCCGGGACCCCTCTGTCTAGTGCACGGCGAGCGGATGGGCATAGAGCAACCATGGAGTGCCTTGTGTACACAAGCACATGCAGTGTGCACACAGAAGCTTTGGTCTGTGGTAAAGGGTGTTCCCTGGAAACGCCATAGTATCAGTGCATGACGCATAATCCTAAGCAAACTAGTACGGGTTACACACAATGATCCCCGATATAATTAGGAGAGATGCCAGCACAATGGGGCTTGATTAATTAGTACATTTTACCCCTAAATGACGGGAAAATCTAACAAGTCTATAGAATATAGACAAGAAAGCCCATCATTTTTTTTCGTAGAACGCAATACGCATCTCCAATTACACAAGTAATGTATTTCAAGTATTAGTCCAAAACTATTCGGGTTCTTTGTAAATTGAAAATGCGATTAATTCATGGTTAAAAAATCCAATAGACGAAAACTGACTGGCTTATGAAACGGCCAGTCAGTCCCTTAATATTTGAAAAGCACAAGAAAGATAGTATTTCAGATGAAACGTTCTGGTACCGAACCTACATTTCTTACTCGCCCCAAAAGTCACTATACTGAATGGTCAACCTTTTCCAAAAAAGTTAGACACACACGCGCATGTAGTCTTGTGTCTCAAATTAATGTAATTCAACTCGACTTCACTGTCTGATACAAAAAGGTTAACGAATTTGTTTCTTATATTTGAACTGACATCATAAAAGATGCCGGTAAAGTTGTAAGGACCATCTTTACCTTGAAGAAGTTTTGGAATATTTTGGTGTATGAAATCTGTCCTATATTTTGTGCCAATTTTCCAGTGATCATATTGTTTCAAGTAAAATATAGTATCGATCTTTTTCAAATAAACACTCCTGTCAAAGAAACTTGATACACAACAATATTCTACGCCAAAAATACACGGTTAGAATATCCTATACATTTGTAATTTTCACGGAAACATACTGAACTTTACGGAGCACCAAACCGTGCCGGACTAATCATGGCAAATTTCAAAAGACCCGACATTTTCCGACAAAGGTCCGTCTTAATGCTCCTATGGGACACAGTGTGCAGAGATGTGAAAATCACTTAAGATGTAAGTCGATGCTTATTGGGTGTGGCATGAGTTTCAAATTGATTTTTTAATTATTACGCATAACATGTATGTAATATTGCATAAAATACCAGTGAAAAAAAAGCAGTACATCAAAAACAACATTAATGGCAAAACAGAGTGCAGAATGTGGTTTTCGCGTATACAAATTATTGGTGTTTATTTTCCTTTGCAGGCGGAAATCCATTTACATGTAAATAGAATTTTGCAGCAAAGAACGGCCGCATGAAATTATCGTTACACATCTAAGCATTAGGTACAGTTACAATTGTATTGTTGCAATAAAAGTGACTGTGGGGCCATGTTGTAATATGAATACGAAACACAGTTTCACTGTTGTTTATACGCTGAAAACCATATTATTTTTGTACCAAATATATACGGCCAAGATGTTCACGCACGGCATGCTTGTATCATGGAGCTTATAGCTCCATGCTTGTATTATGACATTTTGTATAGGGCATTTTATACAACACGGCAATCAAATTTAACCAAAGAAGCCATTTTGCGAGTTCCCTTTGTGGTTAATTTTGAATTAGGTTTAGTGTAGGCCTACTGACTTTCAAGAATATTTGGTATAATTATTAGACTTCAGGTTTATTAATTTTCCAAACTTCACAAAAAGATGCAAATGATGTTATCGAATGATTCAGTGCGCAGTAGTCATTGTGACATGACCGAACTGAACTCACTGCACCAGAATATAACGATGTATACAAAGATGGCTGCAGATTGAACATTTTCAGCTGGATGTTGCCGACAGAAATTGAGTTCAGATTGCACCAGTTTTCTTACCATTTTTTGACTTGTTGGATGCAGAACCGACTCTTGCCGACGCATGAATGCGCTGCAAGGTGGTTGAGTCTGGCCTTATATAGTGACAACCATTGATCCCACATAATATATGAAAGAAAAGGGGGTGACAATTATTGTGTAACCGCGGAACTGATGACAAGTTTGATTAATGAGAAATAATGATACCAAAATGACAGGGCAATTAAAATAGAACCGCAGGCGATAACTACGATACGCGATGAATGTCTGACATTATACCCAGTATATACGTGATCAAGTGTATCAGTATAAGAATGCCGAGGGGTTAAATGGTTGCCCGAACACCCCCCCCCCCCCATTTGGTTTTTTGATAGTGATTAGAATTTTTCGCGCCAAAAGTTTCCTATCAAAAAATGCCACTCATTTTTGGTACGTGATGGCATCTCGATATTTGCCATTTCTGGTACCTCCCAGTAGTATACGCTACTTCACCTTATACTCTAATTGAAAGAGGAAAAAAGAGATGGATGTGAATACCTAAATAAGATCCACGGGCAAGTTTCGAACATTCAGGCTCGTTTACCGAACAAATCATCGAACCAGCTCTTTACATGCAAAGAGCGCACATAGTGACCTACTTGCGCGCATGCTGGACAGAGAAAGAAAACGAAATGCACTATTGGTGCATGCTACATCTCGGACTCAAGTATGCCGCAGTTTGAGATCTCAAAAATAATACATCAGCATCCTCCGGAAAGGCCTGTGGAAGATGATACGATGTCGTTGATACTATAGTCTTAGCCGAGAGCCAAGTGGCTATATATCAAGGCCTAGCTGTGGCTTATGTTGGTGAAATACAGAGTTACGCACGACCGAGGCATAGATCTTTGCATAACATAATGCGCAATACTAGAGATATTTTGTCGGGATTTGTGATCACGTCTTTAGACTTACCACCAGATACCATGAATACATCCATGAAATAGTGCTGTACAATTTGAATTTAAGTTTTTTATTTCAACAATTTTACGCTTAGCCTATATGATTAGCCGGGTGCTATACAGGGTGAGTAAAAAAAAGAAACCCAAATGTCGGGACCATTGTTTTAGTTTTAGCTTTTAAACACAAGCATCGTTTTAAAGTTCTGTCCATCACAAAAAGGTAAGTGTTCTATTATTCTTTCAGCAAAACGAAAACAAATCACACAGGGATGTGTGATCCGTGGACAGAACTTAAAGCGGTGGTTGTGTTAAAAATCCGCAATTTGAAAAGTACATGAGTGATTTAATGATTCTTGTACTAAAGGAAAGCTTATGAATTGGGCTTTCATATCCTAGATTTTGGAAGTGCTTCATGCAGAACTTCACTAAAACAATAGGGTTTCGTGTTTTTTGACTCACCTTGTAGACTGTTCAATATGCAGTTATAGAAATTTACCACTCTAGTAGAAACGAAGAGTTGAAAATACCTTCATTGTATAAACTTATATAATATAAAGCTAAGGAGAAAAGACATTAATATCACAGGACAAACCAGTAAAAACACGGATGACAGTTTTCCTGCGGTCTATAACAGCTCAACTATACAAGAAAACCCATCAAAATGAACGGTGAAATGGATTTTCGCGAAATGATGCATCAGCTATAGTCTACAAATATGACACTGACTATAGAAATGTATAAAACCTTGACGTTTGAACAGTATTGATTCTAGTGCAGCCTCCGAGAAAATATCAAGCTTCAGGCTGAACTAATTATTCGTAAGCAATTCCATATGAATTTTTCGTTCAGTACATCAGTTTTGGTGAACTCTGCAAACTGCGTTTGCTTGTGTTATGCTTCGCCGTTGCGTCATGATCGTACGTTATAGACACAAAAACTCAGCTTTCCATATCCTTGGTTGGAACTCGAGTTTGGGTAAAATTTGCGACCCCAACATTGCCCTTCAAAAAATGCGGTATCAATGAGGGAGCGTTTACAATTAATGTGAAGCGATGATTGAATGTGATATCTGCCATCAGGAAATTTCTTTTTAAC